GATTCACAGTGGTCGATAACCTATAGTTTCGGTAGCTCGATTTTGAATTCTAGAAATTTCTTAGTTTTTGAGATTCACACAAACAATTTCGTGCTGAAAATTTGAATTTCAAGATAAAGTAACCTGAACGACTCGAAACATGTTTCTTATAGGTTTTCGACAATGCTCTTTCCAGTGGTATCGTTTTCAAATATTGAGAAAGTTTCCTGAAGGGTTTTCCAGAGACCGGATCTCTGAAAAGCTAATTAGAAAACTTTTGCAAAACCCAATTCTCATGCCATTAGAAAGAGGATCATGAAAAACCTATAGAAAAATGGTTCATGAAATTTTCATTCACTTATAACGCTAAAGTCCGCCTGCTCAAGCAAAAAATGCCCACTGTGTGTGGATTTCTCTTTCGTTTTCTTATTTTCTCTTCGATAAAAAATAATTGAAGAAGAGCAATGTGACCTTTCAGAGATGTATACAAAGGAATTAAAATTGACTTTGTAAAAATTTTCAGATATCTGGGTGTTGAGATATGTTCAAAATCAGAATGGGGAGTTTTCATTCAAAATCGTTTAGAAATAATCAGGAATATATACAACGCGTTCCGAGTTCTGTTTCGTTTTATCCCAAAAAAAGATATCAAATTAAGAAGACAAATTTTCCTTGCTTTCGCACTTCCGCATTTTATTTGGGTATTCATTACCTGGTTCTTCTTCACAGAAAAACAACACGACCTCATAGAACATGTTTACTATAAATAACCAGCCTGTGTTCTAAGAAAATTCAGCCGATCGAAAAATAGTTTCATAAAATTCAATTTTCTACAAACTGAGCTAAAAACCTTTGTTGTACAACCCCTGGAACAGTTTGAAAAGTTGAAAACAAGACGGCCGACTGACATCGTTTTTTCAGTTTTTTGAGACTTTTGGCATCAAGAATTCATTCTAAAACATTAATAAGGTAATATTTGGAATCAGCGTCAAAAACCGAACCATACACCATACAACATGCCTTTGAAGTTATTTAGAGACAAAAAGTTTTCGAGTAAAAATTGGTCGGACTTGGAAAATGAAAATCGAGAAAAAAGTGTCGCAAACTTTTTTCTAAAACCCATACGATTTTCGGGGTATTTCATGGTTTTTTCGCTTATAAATGCGCTTCCCTTCAAGTTTCTCGAAGTTTGCGACACTTTTTTCTCGATTTTCATTTTCCAAGTCCGACCAATTTTTACTCGAAAACTTGCCGAAAACGGCCGTCTTGTTGCAGCGAAAATCTAGGAAATCTGCAAATAAACAGAATGAGAATACTGCTTGACTAAAGCGTACGTCTAACTAAAAAGATGAAATTGCGCGAACTGCGACCGTTGCATGGCATATTTTCGGCTAAAGCTGGGACTACTATAACGTTTGTCCAGTTTTTGTGAACTTCCCACTGCTCATTTTAAATTGTCTAGTCAGCGGGTGACACTATCACAGTTCTGTAATCTCTGTGATAAATAGAAACATAATTCTTCAGCCTCCACCTATAACTGCGGCTCTGACCTGTCGCTAAAACTTGACGCGTTTCAAGAATGGAAAATAGAACGCACGCATTCTAGATGGTAATTCTTACAGGTCTCTTTCAATGGACTAATTCAGAACCCAATAAGATGCATCGTGGCTGACCTTCCACTTCTACCGCATCTTCTCAACGACCAATTGGGCGCATTTAATAACTACAAGTCGCTATTCCGTCTTTCTTCGCTCAGCGCTATTCGCACTATAATGTTGAGTGATGTTACGTTTCGAAGTCACTGATCCCATGAGAACATATCGTCCAGACCGTGCGATAATATAAACAAAACCAAGATTTGTCCTTTATTCGCCCAAAACACAACACACACTAGTACAAATGCACAAAAAAGATTCAAACTACAGTATGAAAAACTCATACGACAAGTTCTTACTATCCACTAAAAGTTAAACATACTACACCACTTCATACTACACATCCACACAAGACAATATGCGAACATTCATTCTTTCACAAGCTTTCTACATTTAGCCCACAATCGTTGCATATACTTCCCAGAACGACTATAACCGTATTGTCTCTCATAACTAGCATCAACAATTCCCAAACCAGCAACATTCGGATGCTCAGATGTCAAACATTTTCCTTCGATTCTCACAGATCTCGCAAGATATTCCACAGCATGATCAAAATCGAATTTCCTATCACAAACTACACCTACATCACTCACACTTGTAGCAACATCCGGATCCTCGGATGCCAAACATTTTCCTTCGATTCTCACAGATCTCGCAAGATATTCCACAGCATGATCAAAATCGAATTTCCTATCACAAACTACACCTACATCACTCACACTTGTAGCAACATCCGGATCCTCGGATGCCAAACATTTTCCTTCGATTCTTACAGATCTCGCAAGATATTCCACAGTATGATTATACTCGTCCTTCCGGTCACAAACTACGCCAACATCACTCACACTTGTGTCACTATCTGACTGGTCAGCTGCCGAACGTTTTCCGGTAATGGATCCGGCATAATATTTCAAAGCACGATCATACTCGCCTTTCCGGTCATAGACAAGGCCAATATTATTCAGACTTTTAGCAATATTCAAATAGTCAGCTGCCAAGCGTTTCCCTCTTACGGAGAGCGATCTCGCAAAATATTCCAAAGTACGATCATAATCACCTTTGCGGGTACAAATCGCACCGATACTAATGACAGTGTTATTAATATCAGAATAGTCAGACGGCAAACATTTTGGTATTATGGTAAGAGATCTGGCATAATATTCCAAAGGGCGGCCATAATCGCCCTTCCGGTCATAGACAAGGCTAACATAATTCAGTGTTTTGCCGATAATCGGATGGTCCAATGGCAAGTATTTCTCTCTTATGGCGAGCGATCTGGCATAATATTCCAGAGCACGAACATACTCGCCTTTGCAGGCATAAATAGCACCAATATTAATGAGAGTGTTAGCAATATCCGGATGGTCAGCTGACAAACATTTCTCCCTTATGGCGAGTGCTCTCGCATAATATTCCAACCCACGATCATATTCGCCTTTTCGGTCATAGACAAGGCCGATATTATTCAGACTTGTGGCAATATCCGGATGGTCATGTGGCAAATATTTCTGTTTTACGGTGAGAGATTTCGAATAATATTCCAAAGCGCGATTATAATCGCCTTTCCGATTGTAAACAACTCCAGTACTAATTAGACGATTTGCAAGCTCCGGATGATCAGATGGCAGACATTTTTCTGTTATACTGAGACATCTCACATAATACTCCAAAGCACGATCATACTCGCCTTTCCTGCAATATATAGCGCCAATATCATTCAGACTTGTGGCAATATCCGGATGGTCAGATGGCAAACATTTTTCTGTTATGGTGAGACATCTCGCATAATATTCCAAAGCACGATCATAGTCACCTTTGCTATTGTAAACAACGCCAATATTATTGAGACTTGTGGCAATATCCGGGTGGTTAGATGGCAAACGCTTTTCTGTTATGGTGAGAGATCTTGCATAGTATTCCAAAGCAAGATCATAGTCACGTTTCGCGTCAAAAACGGCGCCAATATTATTCAGACTTGCGGCAATATATGGATGGTCAAATGGCAAGCATTTTTCCTGGATTTTAAGAGATCTCGTAAAATAATCTAAGGCAAGATCATACTCGCCTTTCCCGTCATAAACAGCACCAATATTATTGAGACTTGCGGCAATATCTTGATGGTTAGATGGTAAACATTTTTCTTTTATGGTAAGAGATTTCGAATAATATTCCAAAGCAAGATCATAATCGTCTTTCCTGTTGTAAACAACGCCAATATTATTGAGACTTGTGGCAATACCTTGATAGTTAGATGGTAAACATTTTTCTTCTATCCTGAGAGATCTTGTATAATATTCCAACGCACGATCATACTCGCCTTTTCGGTCATAGATAGCGCCAATACTAATGAGACTGTTGATTATAGCTAGATTGTCAGGTGGCAAAGACTTTTCTGTTATGGTGAGAGATCTCGTATAATATTTTAAGGCATGATCATACTCGCCTTTCCTGTTGTAAATAGCACCGATATTATTCAGCGTTGTGGCAATATTCGGATTGTCAGATGGCAAACATTTTTCTTTTTTCGTAAGAGATCTCCCATAATATTCCAACGCACGATCATACTCGCGTTTCTGGTCATAAACAGCACCAATATTGTCCAGACTTGTGGTAATGTTTGGATGGTCAGATGGTAAACATGTTTCCTGAATTCTGAGGGACCTCTCATAATGTTCCAAAGCTCGATTAAACTCACCTTTCCTGTCATAAATAGCGCCAATACTGATGAGAGTGTTAGCAATACCTGGATGATCAGTTGGCAAACATTTATCTTGTGTGCTGAGAGATCTCGCATAGTAATCCAAAGCACGATCATACTCGCCTTTCCTGTTATAGACAGCGGCAATATAATTCAATACTCTAGCTGAGTGTTGGTCGGGCACTGATTTAGTTGTGATTATTGCGTGGTTGTGCTCATGCTGTTTTAGCGCATTATCGTATTCACGTCGGTTGTGATCAGCAACATCAAGGTTATACTGAATCTTACAGATATCGTCACGTGCAGGATTTTCCAGCAGATGCTGGAAGAATTTTTGTAATTTCTGGTGGGTCTCGATGTCACAAGGGATGGAACCGAACGTCGAGGGAGCACTTGTTTCTGCTTGCTCTTTTCCATTCAACTGTATATGTGGTTGCGCAATATCTACTGCGTCACAGGTTGCTTTCATGACCACACGACAGACATGTGATTCTGTACGATCAACTGATAGTATTTTAAAAGTTGCACTCAGATCGAAGAGGACTTCCTGCTCTACTGGACTATCGCTGAACTGTGCGACGTCGGCGCACACAACAGCAGCATTCAACTCACTGAAATCACACTCGATTTCAAACAAAACGACAATGGTGTCCTGACGCTTGGTCGGTTGACGAGCAAAATTCTTAGCCACTGAAAACGAACGATTTGTTGACAGAAAGCCATTTGTCGAAATCAGTTTACCCTCATTCTCTTTCAGCTTTTCAGCTTCTTCGTTCGATAGTTTCACACCTCGATAGACGCGCAGCACACCCTTCTCGCATTGTTTCATCTTCTCGTACTCTTCTGCAAGACTTGAGCAGAGATCAGCGATGAAGAAGCGAAATACGTGCAGTTGTTCGATATCTTTTGTGCGTAGAGCTTTATTGATGAGTTTATAAACGAACGATTGTCGAGTATACCATCGAATAGCGTGGGCTCTTCGATAAGTATCATCGAATTCCTGGATGGATTGCAGTTGTTTTCTATTACCGCGATAATACTCTTGACACTTTTTGATCATTTGATTTTTACCGTGATTATCAGCAGGCATTCGGAGGATTAAATCTCTGAACAGTTGGAACCACAGATAGGAAGCCGATTCGCGAGATAAATCACGAGTCGACCTTTGTTGATTATAAAAGCTGAAAGATTGCAGTTGTTTCTCAAGGAGATCGACATTCACTTTGATGGAATCGATGAGTTCTGCTTGCTCGGTGAATATTCCGATTAGTTTTGAATAGTCATGTTGTAGATCCTTGTGCTTTTCTCGTGGAATACAGAAAATGAATATGGAATCGATCTGGCGTAGACTCTCGACATGTGGTAAAAGATCGGCGGCGCATTTGTCCGATGTCAGAAGAAATATTCTCTCATTTTCAATCTTTCTGATGTGGGCAATGCATGAGTCTAACTGTGTGTGGAGAATAACGAAATCGTTGATATCTCTCAGCATCACCATCATGCGCTCTGTATCTTTTTGTGAACAGGTATTCGGATCAAACCAGATTATTGTCACACTCTCCTTGTTCTCATAATTTTCTGTTCTGTTACCAGTGGCAGCTGCCAATGAGTGAAGCGAAGAGGACAGTGCCATGGACGTTGATTTGGCATGCTCACTGCTTTCTGTATGAGTAAGAGCTGGTGCTGTGGATGTTGTTGTTAGTACTGATACGTGAGGAGTCGGAGATGTTGAGTTTATGTCATGCTCTTGGTTCCTCAACGAGGGTTTCTGGGAAGTTGACAACGACGACATTGTCGTTTTTGTCTTGCAGTGCACGTATTGACTTTGTGCAGATCAAGAGAAGAATACTAGAAGCATAAAAGAAGTGAGATGAGTGCAATAATTCTGTTAATGCTGTCCATTTGTCTGAATGTATTAGAATTGCCTAGAATGCTTTTTAAAATTTCATAAAATCCAAGACTGTCATTTTTCAGTTGTTTCTCCATTTCGGCTAATATCGTCCAAAACCTGTACCAAGAAAAGTGAAAGTAATTTACCTCTAATTATTATTTCAACGTATCTAAATATTTTTCGCATTTGGCTTCAACTTGTCGCTAAGGATACAACAGAAATTACTTTCACATTACACCCAAATACAAAAGAAAATGAGACCATATTTTATGTTGAGAAAAAGCTAATAGGACATATGTCTCAAGTTCACTGAAGCATACTATAGTGATGATGTCGCCTTGCATGTAATGTTTGTAAATTTAGCACACTTGATAGCCCAGAAGGTTTTCTATTTTTGGCTTATCGAGCGCACTGAATACTAAATAGCACTTTTCAGCAACTCAAAACCAACTTTATTTTTGTATGCAACGGTTGATGTTATGGGATGAATATCAGTCTACAATGATACTAATTTTAATCTGTAAAAGGTTACTTCAAACCTGTTAATGTTCTACAGCGGATGTGGAATAAATTCCTGTTATACAACTACCCAAGCATGAATTCGTAAGCGAAAAAATCTACATACACTTGCTGGGGTATCGCCCGATACTCCAGCAAAAGTAAGTAAGATAAAAGAATAAAAAATATCGGGTTATCTAGATGCATCGGGTTTTACTCGATTACACGATGCAATATCCGATGCATCTAGTAAGAAATTATGGTTGATAGAAAACAATAAGAACTAGGTACATCTAGCGATTAAGCGTACGGTTCGTCTAGCTGTTTAAAAAAAAGAATCGCTAGATATAAAAAGTGTTATAATTAGTTGTAAATCGAGGCGAAAAAAAAGGAAGAAAGAAACACAGCTCGTGCAGAGATTCGAACTCTGTACCTAGAGATCAGTAGTCTTCTATCTACGCCATTGTACCACACGAGCTTACACAAATAGATATACATTTTTCATTCTCTGGAAGCATTTATTAGACTTGAGTCTGAAACATGACATGCTGAAAATTTAATTTCTTAAACTTTTTCTATTGGTGTTGGGTCTCTAAAAGTTGGTCTTCAGACTAAAAAAAGGTGTTTTGTGCTTTTTATCTTGAAGATCTAGTTGTACAAAGCTGAGCCTGGCAGATAAAATTTAGAAAACTAAATTTGCTACACATTTTGTTCCAAACTCAAACTTGAGAAGTACTTTGTTCGTGGTGGGAAACTGAAAATTAGCTTTAAAAAAGTGGTTTTCCCGAATTTTCACTGTGAAGATGTTTTCCAAACTTGAATCTAGAAGATAAAATTTAGCAAATTAAATTTCCTCAATTCTATCTGTTAGGCTCAGCTTTGTACAACTTGAGCTTCACGGTGCAAAATGATAACTACCGTTTCTCCTCATTTAGAACAAGGTGATTTCTCACTAGCTGCATCTAGCTGGAAATTGCCTTACACTAAATGCATTCCTCGATTTTAACGATAGGACGGAATGGAATTGACTTAAACCGGTGTTCAAGCAGATGAATCGATCGATATATCCCACGATGCATCGCCCAATACATTGTACTATGTATCAGTAGCTTTATCGGGCGATTTCACGCGTGTCTCGTCTGCAGCCGATATACAACTAGATTCATCTTCCGATATATTGCCCGATGAATCGGGTTAAAATCGCTATTAGATACATAACTAGATACATCTAGAAAAGAATCGGCCGATAACCAGATTCAACTTTTTCTCTTTTTTACTCATCTAGATGTTAGTGTCTAGTATATCTAGCTGCATCGGGCGATACTCGATACATTTTTCATGCTTAGGTAATAACAGTCAAAGAAAACAATAAATATAAAATTGTAGAAGTGAAGTTAGAAAAAGTTATTTTTAACGTACGCTCTTTCTCTCAGATCTGTTGTCTGAAATGGCTCAACCCTTATAGGTTGATTGTTCGAGGAGAAAATGAATTTTTATTTGTAAATCCAACATCTTTTGGTTTCTTTCAAAAACGATGTGTAAAATTTTTCCTTTCTCACTGAAATAATCCTCTGTTAAGCTAGAACTTTTTAACCTGTGACTAATCCGTTCCACTCTACAATCTAGGCAGCCCGGAGTCTGCTCAGTTCAAATTCCAGTAAACGTTTCTTGTAACCTGAGTTCCGAAAAGAGAAAGACCGAGACTAAAAGATCATGAACGTAAATCAATATAAGACTGGGGATTAGCACTGATAAAATGCTACCTATTAGTAAATAAAATTAGAATGAAAAATCTGGCAATATCTGATAGTGTCCTCTCGTTATCCTTGAATCTTCTGAAAATCGGCGTATTTCTATCTAAAAGCATTGATTTTCGTGCTGTTTTATTAAAAGTTCATGACGATCTATCGAATGACGACCGTCAAAAACGTCACTTTGTATTCGGTAAAAATATTCCACGTCGTGTATGTGATGGATGATCCATCTGTCGAGGCACCAGGAATATATTAGAATCTCTATTTTACCATGCAAAAATACCAAACGATGACCGTATATACCTTATCAAAACATTTGTTAAGATTGGTTAAGATAACGTTTGAAAGGTAATCAAGTTTCTTTTTACTAAAAAGGTTAACAAAACCGATATTTTCTTAGCACATCGACAACAGAGTGAGCAGAAATGGCAGACTTTAGATGAGGTAGGACCGACTTTTTACTCCATTATGGATGAAGCGCTGAAAGCTATTCAGGAAGATAAAGTAGTAACAAATACGACGGCACATGAACATCGTTTGAATATCGAAAATGATGTTAAACAGAAAAAACGGTCAGGCTTCATTTTATCAATATAAAAGCCAGCTGTTATTAATAGACGACGTAAATCACCGCTTCTGTCACTATTCAAACGACACTGTGTATGTCTTGTGTTCGGAATACTAGCGCCTGCGATAATGTCAATACTGATTGCGACCATGATCAATTTGAGAACGAGCCGTGATGATTATCAAGCAACATGTTTGAAACTGAAAAGTGGTATGTATAGAGAAACATTATACAGGTTTGCCTGGTATCTAGCTAGTTTCGATGAGAGAGGACTGCGGGTTTGCAAAGATTATTAAAAAACCTCAGATTTTGTGCAGAAGGCTTTCGGGAGACCTCTTAGAAATCCATCGAGATCTATTATTATTCGCATAAAATCCTTAAAAAAAGCTATACATTAGTTTATCGCTCGTCAATTGACAATTCGAATGATATATGACAAAGAATTTTACAAAAAAGGAGATAGGTTTGCAAGATCCGAGTGTCAGTGTTGTCTTGCCCGCCCTCGTCCAACTTAGCTAATAAGAGAATTGCAATAACATTTGGACAAATCTATCCTGTTCTATTCAGTTTTTGACGCTGAATTCGAATAAATTTGTTTCAAAATTTTCTGATCAGAGAAACATGGGAAAATTTTAAAATTTCTCCAGATCGGTTCATTTTTCGTTTTTTTCATATAAAGCTGTATTTTAGAGATTTTTCCTCCAAAACTTGGTTTGAAAACACTAAAAAGGAGCTATTCGTGATCAGCATCATGAGCTCAATCCAACGATGTATGATTCGATTGTCTTTCTATCTTACATCACTTTTGCATCAAATGATCATGTTCAACAATGGTAAAAATGTTTCTTTTAGTAGAAAAAATTTATCAGACAGATGACAAAAAATTATTGATTGTGTATTAGATAAATAAATATACATGCGAGATTATGAACTTTAGATGCATATTCAGAAACACCCAAACGTATAACTTCTAATTTTTGTGATTCATTTCGCGATTCAGTGATCGTTTATGTATTATTGAATCATATCAAGCTTGATGGTTTTTTTTGTAGAGAAGCGTACCGCTACATTTTTACATATTCGGAATGAGCGCGACGATTTACATTGTATCCCAGTGAAAAAAAATGAGCGTAACTTCCTGCGACAAAATAATTTTTCGTTGGAAGTTTCAGTTTTGCTGGGGAAAATTTTAAAAAAAATATTGCGCGCAGAACTTCAATCAATTTCAGAATATTTTTACACGTTATCTAACGCCAGCTATGGATTAAGATCGAATAGTGCAAATACACTTTATGATTTTAAGGATAAAAGTAGTTTTTTTAACCATTCTTTTTTTCCTACTGTTTTTGAAGAATGGAACAGGCTCTCAATCGAACATC